TTAGCTAATATATATATATATATATGTAATGTACAAAAATAACAATCATCTCAATAATATCACACATGCATACATACACATAGACATATTATTATTATCTCCAATAAATTTCTTTTAAAAATTGTAAAAATTAAAACATTTGTTTAAAGATTTTTTAAGTATCAATAATAATATTGAATGCTCGAACAAATATAATCAAAAGATATTTGTAAATAGTATATCTCTATTGATAGAATTATATAAATATCATAAGTCTTTTTTATCTTAAAATCATGATTACAATAGTAAATTACAGAAAAAAATAATTGATGACAATGAATGAAAAGTGTGTAAGATTATTAAAGATATATAACTGTACAATACTTGCAATATAATTTTATCAATTGCTTTTCTATTCAATGTTTATGTATAGTTATAATTATGTATAAAAATAATCGTTCAAGACTTTATTAAAGAATATATGAGGAGCTTATACAGTACAGCATAGTATAATCAGGTATAATACAATTGTACAGATTTATATCTAACAAACTGTATATTAACTTAACACAAATACGCCAATATAATGTAATAGACTATCATGAATTATCATCTTTTAGAGGTAATAACAATAACTTTTCTAACAAAGTGCTGTTATTTAAACTTTGACTACCAATACATTGATTGAAAAATTGTTGGAGATGTAACGGATTATTAGTATGCAATAAAATTATAAATGCATATCTCCATATTAAAGGCTCTAATTCAATAGGACATTCAAGAAGTCTAAATAAATTTAATGCCTGCTTCCAATCTTGACGCGTGACATAAGATTGCATCTCTAACAATGCTAAACTCTTTGAAAATCCTGTAAGCAATGTCCTACTTCTCTTGTTACTTTGAAATTTCTTACAATAATGATTAACTTTATCATCATTTATGGCTTCCATATTTCGTCGTCTTTTTCTTTTCATATTATGTTTTGTTATAAATTGTATAGCCTTATCCTAAAAAATTACAATTGTTGGTTTTCAATATTCAATTAAAACTATAATTTACAATATTATTGTTTGTCATGTGTGTCATATGTCAGCTATAGAATAAATTACATACCACATTAGATTTTGTGATTTTTCGGACTGAATCCTGCGACATAATTATACTTGTAGGTACTTTTTCCTTTTCTCTTTGATCTTGCTGCATAAAATTTGTAAATATAATTTATAATTGCAAACTTGAATAATGAATGAATACTTTTAGATTAGATAAGAGAGAGAGAGAGAGAGAGAGAGAGAGAGAGAGAGAGAGAGAGAGAGAGAGGGAG